GGTGTACAAAGGTCTTAAGCTAACGAAATCCTCGAATATTAGATTACTGAAATTTTAACATTTTAACGATTAATACAGACTGCAATTCCATAGCTGAAAAACTATTTAGCATAAAAATTAGCGAAAACCCAGAGATGAGGACGACCATGTGCAGCCAAACGTTATGTACAGCGAAGCGCTAGGGCTGATGCGTGCTTTAGTTACCGAGCACCCGCTTCGCAGAAATTTGATAACACAACGAATTGAAAAATTTTCAAATTGCACAAATGTTTTTAAACTATATTTCACGCATTCAAACCATATGGTTATATTGGTTATTACACACTAAAAAAATCAACTTTTAGCACCACCAGGTTAGATGTGTTTTTGTTGGAATTTCGAGTAAAAATTAACGATTCGCGAATGACGCTGAGGGTACGTTACTTTTAAAAATAATTATAGTTCCCTGGAAAAATTGTACTAGAGTTCATTTTTGAAATAGATTGTACTAGAAGAAACAATACATAAACGGTAAGAATAAATTTATATGAAATATATAAAAAAAAATGTTAAATTACGTCAGAGATAAGAAAATATTTCAAACCCGAACTTTAACAGACATCACAATATATCACACATCAGTCTTGCAAAATAGTTCCACTAAGTGGACCGACAAGTAGGTTCATAAGACGCAGTTGTGGCGGTAATATGCCAAAAATTCGATATACACAGTAACTAAATAATATCTGCAAACTACTACAGACATAATAAATATTAGCTATTCATTTACTTTTCTCCGCTTTGGCACTTCATGAGAAGTGGTGCTATATTATCACTCAATCTTATCTAGAAATTGTTGGAACCACCATCATCAAGCAGCACCAGATTTGTGTATCTTTAAAAAAAGGCATAATATCTTACTCTCATAATCATCCAGTAGATCTCATAACTGCCCTAATGCTATTTTACTTATTTTATGTAGTGTTTCTGTTTTATTCTCTGAGAGTCTTGGTTGCTCAATAATTCCACATACTTGTCTCGTAAACTGCTTTATTAATTTAGTTACTTAAAGAAAAGTTTTTTCTCATCATATTATGTGGCAATTTTGGAGATTAGAATAACTTTCCTTTTTTAAAATCTCAACACCGTATAAGTTCGTGGGGTCACTTGCTAAGTAGCTATGTAGTGTTAGACGCACATTATTAGTCCAAAAATATCAGCCACAATGGAAAAATTCTGAAATGATCTTAAGATTAACAAAAAATGTATTCCTATTTCGTTCTATTTCAGATACATAACTAGTAAGGACCATTTTTACAGGGGAACATGATCAATAAGAACTCCGTAGGCGAAGAATCATCTCTCACAGCAGAACAAGACACGTGGAAGAATCTGTCCTCATTGAAAAGTATACAATTGTGCGAACGCCCAATAAAATTTATATCACAGAAGATTTTTAAACTAACAATTTTTAGATGTCTCCAATATAGCTCGCTTGATTTTAAACGGAATCAATAATTTTGAATCTTACGGCTAATAAATGTGGACGAAATGTGTTTTGAGCTTGATACTCAACAAAACAAAGAGGTTTTATAATATCCTGTCGATGTAGTATATTTAGCTTCTGCCATAATCGAAATCAATATATTAAGTAGAAAAATAGTTTAAGCGAAGATGGAAAGAGAGCAGGATTACCTCGAAATATTTGAACGGAATCGGGATAACATATTTCATTCACAGCAATTTTCTTATTTAAAATTCCTATATATCGAATTTAAAAACGTTTCTATTTACAAAATATACATATGTGCTTCGTGTGTTTGTATGTGTTTTGAGTGAATTGAAAATTCCAGTTCAACGTCAACACACAAAATTCAATTCAAGTCTGTAAATATTTTGACAAAAGTTACCAGTGCAATTGACGACGTTTGCCACGTCGACTAGATCGCTTAAAAACTCAACTACATACCTTATGTATGTGAATATGTATATATGGTAAGTGTATTCGGTAGCGGTCTGGGGAGTTATGGTAGGTGATTGCAATCTAGTATATTATATTTTTGCTACCGCCTCACAATCTCCTCCAACTGTCTCATTGACAGCGTCTGCTTCGGTTTTACCCTTGATGTGCGGCGCCTCCCACCATTCCTCATTGCCTTATGAATCACCATCAACCTTTTTCTTATATTACTCGTTCTCACATAGATTTCTTCAAGTGTGTTCTATTTGGTATTTCATCGAATCGACTGCACGGCAGTCAGTCATTGCTTTTGTGCCTTATTTTCTCTTCTCCGATGCTGTCGCTATTTCCTTCCATTGCAAATGAAATGATTTGTTTTTAGAGCAAGTATTTGCTATAGATAGTTTGAATTGCCTTCGATTTGCCACAGTTGTGACTAAAATGACACATTATCATTTACTATGCACTTTAAAGCTAACAGTTTCTATTAAATTGGGAAAATGCAAATTAATTTGAAGTGAACATTTGATTGTTTATATAATGAGTTTAAGGTCAAGAACTTGCAAAGTTGCCTTATTTGACAACTTTGATGAATGCTGGAACGAGGTCTACATTAAATTTGTAATAGTTTCCAAAAAGACGATCTTGCTTTAGGTTGAATTCAAAGAAAGAGTATCATACCCTAGGACGATGAGATATGTTATCAATAAAAATAGTATTTATGAAAAGTGGTATATTTTAATCGCATTTAACCAACGACCTCATCTATAGATACGGATAAAAACGTTAAACTGCCACGGGAGGTCCTTCATCTATCTTCCTATAAAGACAGTGGCAAACTAATGTGAACAGAGCTCTTACACTCAGTGAACTACCTCTGTAACCCGAAACGTTAGCATAGTATTAGCATTTTTCCTACTTAGCTGCAAAAAAACAAGTCCCACCTTGAATTTTATGCGTTGCTTTCAATGTATGATATTTTCCAAACTTCTATATCATAAAAATTTCAATATACAAGTATGTAACTAAAATTTCAATGCTTCTTTTTTTCGACAAGTGCGGCAGAAATGCCAAAATTCAACCGAAATGCGTAAATATCTACTTTTTACAGAAGAGCATTTCCGTTTAGCCAAGCTAGTACAATGTAGCAACAGTAGTTTGGATGGCTGCAGCAAGAGTTTTTAAAACGGGTTACTGCCAACTTTGCCTGTATACCAAAATTTGTTAAAAATTCCATATTAATACATTAGAAAGAGAGTACAACAAATTATTTATGGTGGGTCCCATTTTCTCATCTAATCTTTTAAGTAAACTATGGCTATGTGTTGCTTTTTCCAAAAGAAAATGTTGGTGATAATCTGCATTAGTTTAATAATTAGTATAATTAGGTTAGGATAATACATAATATTATATAAAAGTAGGTCCTTGAACTTATAGCACATACCCGGCTTCTTATATTTAAAAGATGTGCTTTTTCTTCTTTTTGAAGATGTTGATCAGATCATAAAAATTTTAATTCGGCAGCGATTTCCTATTTTATTGCTGAGCTTTTGTCTTACAATAAAATCGTTATTTTTCACATGACCCTAATATGTTTCGAATCGCTTACTTCCAGAGAAAAGTGCAATTGAATACAAATAACAAAAACGGGTTCCCTTTTTCTCCTTGATTATAACGAATAGCCACTGTAATGAAACTGGGATCCGTTTCGGTAACTCAATGAGAATCAGTTCTTAGACAAAATACATAAATTGCGGGAGATCTTTAAATATAATGTGTAATCTTAGCTCAAAATAAATGATTTCATGGAATGTACTCACAAACATGTTTAATCTACTCAGAAAAACGAATAGTGATTGGGTACTTACTGACCTTGACTGCATGTAGTCCTTTTATATTATACAGAATTATCTATATATTTCAATCGAGCTTTAAGTCTGTAAATTACTTTAACTTTTAACTTTTGAATATTAATATATTTACATAAATCAAATAAATACGAGTGAGTAGTTTCAGCGAATTACTAAATATTTTCTAAAAGTGTTGGTAAACTCTTTTAATTTTTTCTTAACCAAAATTTACAAAATAAATTAATTTTTCAATTTTAAATTAAACAAATTTAATTCTTAACAAGCAGATGTCTTTTGACATTAAAAAAACGTAAGGAAAATATGTTAATACTATAATATATAGCCACTGAGAGGTGTAAATTGTTTTAGGTAAAGACTACCTGTTTCAAAAAGTAAATTAATGAACTAGACAAATTTACAAATGAAAAATTTAAAAAGAATTATTTCAGTTAAAAGTTGGACCATTTCTTGAGGAGTGCTGTTTAATATATTTCTTCAACTCAATTCTATAATAAAGGAAGAGTTGAATATTAGCTTAAAATGAAACATGCGTTATTTAGCTTGGAAATCTAACGCTGATGTTCTCCTCCTAAATAATTGTATTATCTGTCATTTAAATACCTGCTTACCTTTAAATGTCCACATGTCGACTCGCATTTACCAAAACGATTATTTAAATAAGATCTCTCACACAAAGATGCCACCGTGAAATATTATGAAAATATGCACAAACAGCATTACATGAAACTGGTGCAAACCAAATACCGATGGCCTATAACTTCCATCGACTGTGTTCAATTGAGCTCTTAAAATCGAAGCTGATGGATCTCCCATATACAAATTCACATAACAACTAAGCATATACTACTACGTTGTGCCAGATGCCACCAAAAACGTATTATTTATTAATCTACCCGACCAGAAGCAACAATGACAACAACAACAATAACGAAGGCAATCATACAACCAATATGCTGACATGCATGCCACTAATACACATACCGAGGGAGCTATCAACAATAGTAAAAACAAAAAGCAAACAGTACATTTCATACAAATATTTATGGGACAAGTGCGCGAATTCAAATTCGATTATGTTAGAAGATAGTTTGTAAGAGGACATAAAGTCAAAATAGTCCATTTACATCCAGCTTACGCCTTTCTTGTTTTCTTTTGAACTGTATTTAAACGAAATAAATTGACACTTTATATAAATGTTATCTGTTTTATTTATTAAGTATACAGCATAATTGATGTAATAAGTTACTTGATAAAATTGGAATTGTAGAGTTTGTGCGATCACTTCTGATTGGGCTACCAGTTCGGCTAAGATTCCTTTTCTCCCTTTCTCTTAGTTGCAACACTTTGAATGACTTTTTGATTCACAGAAGAAAGGAGAGATTTGCTCAAGTATCTACGATTAAATGTACAATAATATATGTATATATTTTCATTCTATATATAAGTTACAAAACGTACCTTCCTTCAAATAATTGCTTTATCACAGACCATTCTACAACAAATTTAAACACTCTTGTCACGCAAACGATTGATCTCAACTTGTCCCATAACATACATTCTTCCACTAACTTCTAGCATATCGGTATTCCTCTTTTTACCCATTTTATGTGGCATGGCGTACCGTAATTTATCCCAAAATCTATCATCTTGCCAATCAAAATATGTATTCATATCCAAATATGCCTTCAGTTCTTTATCCAATAACTCACTGTTCGTGATTTCACCATATTTAATCATTATTATGCGCGCACGACCTTCGTTCAACGAGCACTGATGTGCTGTGCGAAACTCCATGCGCGCCCAATCCGACTCAATAAAGTGCTGTGTGAGTACAATGATCGTACGACGTGACTGATCGACCGATTCGATGATTTGTTCCGGTATATAAGCGCCAGCCAGCCAGTTACGTTCGTGCGTGCATACACGAAATGGTGGTTCGCCCTGCTCGAGTTGCGGCAGTAATATGTGGTTGACGAAGTCTGCATCCTGGTGCGCATACGAAATAAACGCATCGAATGTTTTATGCTTATCCAGCTCAGTTTCGTGAATCCAACATCTCAATATATTGTGTCCATATAACCAGACTTGCACTTCTAATTTATATTTATAGAAAAGTGCGATAATGCTAAGTAAAATAATAACGATTAACGCCATAGTTATTATAGTTGCGATCATGTACTGATAATGTTTAACATTAACGGCACTTTGGCATAATTCGAGCACATTTGCTGTTAGGAGCGTACGATTCCGTAAATTAACACAGTGTAACTTCTTGACATCGAGTATTCGTTGGCGATTTGCACGTATGGTAAACAGTAATTGCTGCGCGGCACAGTCGCAAAACCATGGATTTTCACTGAGATACAGAGACTTCAGATTTGTGTTATCATTGAGGATTGTATGTAAAAATTCATCATTTAAAGATTTTAGGCGATTATTTCGTAGATCTAAAACCTTCAAATTGGTTGGCAGTTGAGTGAGACTTATGTTTGTGATTTTATTGTACGACGCGTAGAGTTCCGAAACGTTGGCATAGCCGAAGGTGGTGTTTAACGGCAATACACTGAAATTATTACCTGTAATATTAAGTATCGAACTCTTGAGCCCGAATTGCTCAGGCCGTGGAAGCTGTTCGATAACATCGAGTTGCGCACCGTTGCAATTGATGTGAAAGAATTCAGATTGTGTGTAACAGTTGCATTTGCTGGGGCACATTACTGGTTTCCAAGCATACAGCTCGTTACGTTCCAGCTGTGTGAGATCTTTTATTATTTTTGTTGACGTCTGATCGCACTCTAAATCATCAAACAGCGAACGATAATTATCACTGTAAATCCAAACTAATGTACAATCGGATACGACCGGATTCCCAGCCATTTTGATTTTAAGCGCACAATCGGTAGTTGTACTTGATAAATTCATTGAAGCATAAATATTGTTAATTAAATTGTACTCTAAGTTGAGTTCTAAAGGGCATCTAATGCCCGCTGCTACAAGCCAATCCATATCGAATTCGCGAAAAAAATTGCCACTTAAATTGATTATCGTGGAGTTAAGCTTACTATCTTCGTACTTTTCCTGTTGCAATTTGCTTATATAATTCAGGCCGTCGTCTAAAGCCCATAACTTGCTCATATTGCTGTATCGAAAATTTGTCAATAATGCTGGAATGGTTTTGACAGAAGTCTCAGTACTCCAAATAGTTTGCAGTTGGTTCTGGCTTAAGTCTAGCCTATATAGATAATGCAGTGGTTTCAGATTTTCCATAAGATTTATGGTGTCGTGCAAATAATTGCCTACAAGTTTCAACTCCCATAGCAAAGGAGTTTGATCGAAAATCTGAGGCGTTAAATATGTCAATAAATTGTGACTAAGATCCAGAATTAAAAGTTTACTCTGATTTACCAATATATTTGCTGGCAATTCCCGTATTGCATTACGGCTTAAATTCAAACAATTCAATTGTGTAAGCGTTGCAAAGATATCTGCGTCCAACATTTTCATATTATTTCCAGCCAAGTCAAGCTGTCTGAGCGCAGTGAGGTGCTGGAAATATGCTTTCGTCAAGTTTCGAAGCGATATGGACTTACTTGTTAGTCTTTGTACGCTAAGGGTAAGTGTTTCAACATTTTTGTACCTATCAAACATATCATTTGGTACAGTTGTAATATTTTCTCTTGATTTTATAATAAATTCTAGGTGACGTACTTCTTGAATTGCAAAAGGTTTTACTGGTTCTGCAGCAAAGTCTCTGTTATAGATTACCGTTAGTTTATTCAGTTTCATTAAGTTTTTTGAATTAATAAAGTGTTTATAGGTCCAAGTTTTTAAAAATATACTTCTATATGGTGTTGGGTCACATAAATTGTGGGGTAAAAATTTAATATCTGTTTTTTTAGGACAAAATAACAGAAATTGTCATAATTCTGAATCAAAGTTGAGGTTCACATTACCAAATTCGTCGAAAACTCTACACAAGGCATTTCCCCTACAATTACAAGAAATCTTATTATACCTATAACAATCCGTATAACAAAAGTAATTTGGTTGAGCGCTTGTTCCTGCTGCGTATACCAAAAAAAGTTTACATAGTAGTATGTAGGCGAGTATTATATCCATATTTCGTAGTTTTAGTTTATATAAATGAATTATTTTCCCGATTTTATTTTTATTCCGCACGAAATAGGTCACACTGACCAGCTCACTTACACTTACTGAACAACTAACCAAAGAATATCAAAATAGTGCAAATTAAACCCCTTAAATCATTATTCAATTTCTTATCAAGAAAAATATTTTTGAAAACCGCAAACTCTCAAAGCACTCGCCTTAGTAAGCGCAATAATTTGTTTGCTGCAGTAAAATCGAAAAAAACTGGTTTCTAAAATGAGTTTACGTTCCCCTAGAGCTGATTAAACTTATAATAAAAAGAAGACGATAACGAATTCATTAAATTAAATATAGTACAGTGAACAACAACTATCCGGTACCACTATACTCTTATTCTTCGACATTTCGTCTTACGGTAAATACTACCCTCCGAACTTACATCAAAAAAAAAAAAAAATTGTGCTTATACTCAAGACATCATAGCTCAGGAGTAAGTAATCGCGACGTCAAAAGGCCTGAAATAATATTAGATTGAAACGTAAAGATGGTGTAGATGCATTAGATTAAGTTGTTTCCTCTTACACACTTGCAAAATAAAGACAAATCGTCAGCCGCAAGTTGCATTTAGTAATTTTATAGACATATCGGGCTTATTCGAAAATATTGGAGGGCATGAAAACCGTTTTTTTTTTTCAAACACCGACATTTCTTGAAAAATTTAGGTTTGCAACTTACAGCAACTTGCATAAATCAGCGAAAATATTACCAACAGCTCAGTTTTCTCGTGAAATCACAAAGCAATTCAATCAACACATCAACAATCGTCTATGTACGTCAACAATATTGGATCGAAGGCTAGACAACAGTAAAACCAATATGTCAGAACTCAGATAATAAAACTGTATTTGTACTTTTGAAAATTTTGTATAAAAGGAGCATTATAATTCGTTATGTAACCAATATAAATTAAAAACTTGAATTAGATTTAAATTTGATATGAATTAAATTTAATTTTTTTCTTAAATTAAAATATTTCATACTTTATTTTTATTTCACAAATTGTATTTAATTACGTTTCATGCTTGGTTAAAAAGAAGAATAATTATTATCTAAGGGTTATTAAAAATATATGCTTTATTTATTAATTGAAGCTAAATACAACGCGCAAAGTTTTATAAAACTTCCTAGTATTATGTAAAACTGGTTTATATACCATAAATTTATTGTTTGGGTCAAATTTGATCGGAACAACGTAAACGCCAGTAATTTTAGAGACCTTATAAAGGTTTATTGTTGTTTCATTATCTATAGAAGAAGATGCTAATGAAGAAAAGTTTTGTTCGATAATAGGTTCGATCATAAGAACACCGATTATTGGACTTTTCGTTGTAATTTGCATACAACTGTACATTTGTATAAACTTTGTCAGTCACTCGCGCAAGTTTGTGTATTTGTGATTGCGTATATGGTGATACGAACGTATAAACTTACCTACTTATGTATATATGAAAACAATTTTTATTTCCGTTCGCATGTTTTGTTTTGCGGTTGCGTGGATAAAGTTAGTGTAAATTAGAAAAATAATAAAAAAATAAGAAAGATACCCTGAACAGGGTATAATGCCACGAAGTTTGTAACAGGTAAAAGCAAACGTCGGAGCCCCCTAAAATATATACATACATGAGCAGAATGATGAGCCGAGTCGATTTAGCCATGTCCGCCTGTCCGTCTGTCTGTATATATACAAACTACACCCCCAGTTTTTAAGCTATCGATCTGAAATTTTGCACCTGTCCTTTTCTTTCTAAGAAGCTGCTAATTTGTCGGAACGATATCGGACCACTATAGCATATAGCTGCCATACAAACTGAACAATTGAAAGCAAAATCTTGTAAGGAACCTTTGTATTTGTGAAGGGTATTATAGTTTCGGTGCAACTGAAGTTAACGTTTTTTCTTGTTCTTTAATGAGTTTTTGGAATGTCCAAGTTGGGTCTGAACCAAATTAATTTAACTCTCAACAAATATGGTAAATTCTTAGATTTAGTGTACGTTGATACCCCTTCAAAGTGTTGCGTTATTCTGAGTAATCCTTTTGTTCTACCAGAGAACTGGTATCATCCTGCTTTTGAAATAACTTTCGAAGTCATAGGCAATGTCCTGGATAAAAATCATCAAACTTCTAGCTTCTGTATTTGGTTTAACTTTGCAAAAGCTAATTTTAAAAAGTTTAGGACGGAACTTTCTACTGTAACGGGGACTGATTACAATGGATATATTGAATTGAGTGTCTTGCATTGTAATCAAATGATTTCGCAATTATTTGAAAAGTATATTCCAATAGTAACTAATAATAAAAGTAAATATACATATCCTTGGTTCTCGAAAAAGTTATATAAATTGAAAAACAGAAAACTCGAGCTTTCAATTATTAAAAAACTGGTTTACTTGTCGACAATTCAAAATATTCTACATTGCGTGGCCAGTGAACAGACCTAAATAAAATTTTTTATAATATTTACTTGAATAAGGTAAAGAATAATACCGTACGTAATCCAAACATGAGTGCTCTCAAATAAAGATTACAGAAAGGCTTTTCAGAGATAATTCAAATCCATTTGAAGTTGCTGATGTACTGTTTAAATACTTCTATTGACTATTTAACTTAGTAGTAGATTATCTTGGAAGCAAGGAAACTCATATATTAAGGGATCAGAACTTCCACTTTATCTGCAACAGGGAGCAAAAGAGCATTTCCAAATGACCGTTAAGAAAGATGCAGACGTTTCATTAGAAAGACGCACCGTATCCAAAGTAGTTGGTTGACTAATAGAGGTTTCAGACATTGTATCGAGAGCGGACTGAATTGGAAATGCGTGACAATGATATAACAAAATAAAAACGGCGTTTCTTAAGAGAATTCGGTATGCTTGAAGTGGTTGGTTGTATTGATGGCAGGCATGTCATATTATTACTACAGTATTTCAGTAACTCCATAATACTCCTTGACTAACCTTGTTTGCGCTGCCAACATGGCCGTATGGCTCTCGTATTGAATGCACAGCTCTCTGAATGAAGCTGAACTTCGAAGCAATGCTCTTACTGCTACCTTTTTCTACCTTATTTGCAGCCACTTTTGCTTGAAAAATACGCCCACATCTCCCTTGTTAGCATGAACGCAGAGAAAAATAACACGATATAATTTTTTTGTTATCAAATTACAGGCACTTACTTATTAATATGAGCATTCAGTATTCAAAACATCGCATTTCATTTCGAAATCATATTAAAAATTACTCGATTTCTGGAACAGGCAAATTCGGTTATCGAACCAAATCACTACGTTTCCATGTGAATGTGAAATACAGAACATGGCTAATAATGTATAAAAAACTTGCATAAAACATGATGGGCGTAATCGCCCCGCTGCCACGCCCATAAATTGTCATAATAGAAAACCTATAAAATGTCATAACTAAGCACTAAAATAAGATATATGACTGTTATTTGAAATATTAAATTTCACAACTAAGATAGTGGGGAAGAGCTTCATAGGAGCATGTATAAAAATTGGACAATGGGTGTGGCTCCACCCATTAGATGAAATCCAATAACTTAAGAACTACAAGTATGTGAGGTGCCCAACCATTCTTATTATACACTGCCAAAATGGGCGATATCGGACAACTTCTCATATAACACAACTTTAAATTCAATCAAATTCTTTCACTTCCAGTATACAAACCAAACACCAATAAATATATCGCGATACAAATTTGCACAAATAGTACCCTTAAGGTATTTAATATTATGACCAAAAACTGTCGAAATTGAATAATAACTTTTCAAGCATCCAGACACCAATGTATGGACTCTAGTGCTTATCG